CTTACAGGGATGAACTGCTGAGTCTATCCTCTGTACTTCCAAGTTAAACATTCAAAATATTTCCTGTTTTCCAGTCTTTAAGCACAACACATTCCATTTGAGGACAGACACATCATTAAAATAGAAGTTAAATTGTTATTGATACTAGAAACATAATCCTACAGTCATCATTCACTCTCATGAAATATATGGCTGTTACCAAGTCCAGGTCATTTACCTAAGTCACCTAGTTCAAATACTGTGTTTCTGCCGAGAATATCAGCACCTCTAGCTTTCTGACCTCTCTCCAGGCAAAAACAACAGTTCTGGATTATCTTCTATAGAACAGAAAAGTTGCTTTATTTTTTTTTTCTCCTCCCCATGAACATTTATTTCAACATAATAACCATAAAACATAATGACATAAGTTACACAATAGATATTAGGAATTATCTGATGATATATTATTTGGGATGGCTGAAGGAGGACACCAAGTGCTGCTGCTCCTGACTGCAGTAATTCCATGCCTACACCCAAACTTATCTGTTGCAGAATAAATGCCAAACCTCCACTTCCCATGCCAACACTCACTTTTGTGTCAAAGAATGCAAGAAATATTAATGGTGGTATCTTAAGAGATTACACTTCTCCAAAGCACATCTGACAACCACCTAAAATCATACGAGTCTGTCTCTGCTGAGAAAAGCAGTTTTCCAAAAGCCATCTTGGAAATCTTTACACTGATTATTGTCCTGCAATGGAAGGGATTCAACTTCAAGTTGTGTTAATATTTGAGCTGAATTAATGTTAAGATTATTTCTGCACTATTAAATACTTATGGATAAAACAACAAGACAATTTCAAGAAATATATGCAAATTTACTGGCTCCAACCCTCATCTCCCTTAACATTGTTTTATGTTACTAGTTGCAATCAAATTATTTATTTACTGTGGAGAATCTTGTACTACAGAATGCTGCATAGAAGGCACTGGAAAAAAGGGGAATTTTTGTGAGAGGTGTTACTTGTAACTCTTGTTTTCCTGCTCTAAAAGCTATTTGCAAAGGATCCCAGCCATGTTACTAGAAAACATCATAGTTTTCAACATTATTCCATTTAGTCTGTAATTTATGGAAGTTGCTACTACCTACCTACTTTTTTTTCTTTTCTTTTTTTTTTTCCCCTAGGACAAGCTTTCAAATAAGTTAGGTGCAATAATTCTTCAGTGACTTGTGCTCTCAAGTGCTTTAATGTAATTATACAGTACATCAGGTTATTTAAAAGCTGTAATAGCTTTTTTGTTTATCCATGATTTTAAAGAACTGTCAACTCCTTACAACTTATTTTCAGAGGAAAATATTTTCAAATATGTTAAATTCTATGAAAATTAACACTTATTAGAGATGTATTTATTTTTCTGAGAAGGAAGGAATTGAGTTTTTTGTTACTGAATATTGCTTAAAATTTTCCCTGCAACTGGAAGTGTCTTGGTTGACATTTTCCAGTAAAACTGAATACCCTCTATTTGCTCAGTATTAAAAATATCTTTCACTGTTACAAATTTGCGTTTCTGTATATCCAAGCTCTTGTTCATGTCTGGAGCTCATCATGAACAGCATCTCAACACACAGTGCCTATCACAGAAGGCTATAATCTACAGAGATTACAAATGAATTAATTAGGACTCAAAGTCTAATTTCAGTCTCCTCTTCAGCCAACAATTTTGCATGCGATGTTTGGTAAGCCTGTTTTTATCTCAAATTCATTCACCTGTGTGGTGGTCTTAGACGTGTAGTTCATCCCAAACTTAGAGACATGCCTAGTACATTAGGATCACCTACCATTTCTGTCCATTTTTTTTCTCTACAACTGTTCCTGACATTCTGGCCCCAGTTATTGCTTTTTGTCTTTGTAGCTTCAGACATAATTGGAAGACCAGAAAGGGAAAAAGCATTCAGTGCAGGGATGTTAGAAAACAGCAAAAAAACTTGTAATGGCCCTGCCATGATAGTCACCCCCTAGTTGCTTCAGTCCTCCATGTCTCTTAAAGTTCAAGAAAACATGAGTGTGCATCTTAATTATCCAAAATTCAAAAGGATGATAAAAAGGTCTTGTTAACGAAGATGTACAAACATATTCTGTAAAATTCTGTTTACAATAAACAATTGAAGAACTTGACCAGCTTCTGCTTTTTCTCCTGCCCACATACACAACTTCCTCCCCCCTTCCCTTCTACATGACTGAAAAAGACTAGAAAGTTGTAGCAGAAAAATACACTATTAAGCCCATTAAGCCTCACAATGGTCCTTCAAATACTAAAAAGATATATAAATATATTAGCTATATTAAAGATATATTAAAAATATATATATATATATAAAAAATATTTAAAAGTTGGTGTTTGGATCTGTTGAGATTCTTATTTATATTAGGACCGCACACTCAATGCTGAAATGGAGCCAGCTTGGCCTGTCCTGCTGTCTAGAATAAAGCACTCAAACATACTGATGGATAAATTCTATGCTGGGAGAAGCAGAGAAAAGAAAGCACTTTAGCAAAAACTGTTCCGCTTTCTTAGAATTACCACCTTACAGAATTCTCCATTACTCCTGCTTAAATAGGTTTTCAGTAATTAACATCTATATATTAGAACTTAAAGGTGATGGACGGTAATTTCATGAAAAGGGGGATGAGCATATGATATCTTTCACAAAAGGATATGTACCACACACAGCTGGAGGTGTCAAAACCTTGGAAATGAACCTTTGTGCAAAAGTCACGTAAGCAAGGTTTGACCCAGCTTTTTGTAACTCCAGCCTCCCAGCCTAATTGATGAAGTCCACAGAACAGAGGACCCATAAGAGACCTCTTTCCTTCCTTTCATCCCCCCAAAATTAATACCTCAAAATGGACTGTATAACAAGTTTATGAGATGCTGACAGTTCATAACTACTCGGTAAAATTTAGCTTCAAAACTTGTATCCTACTAACCTGTGAGGTTCCGATTCCACCCATTCCATTGTACCAAACTAACTGTTTGGTACCATTCCATTGTACCAAACCAACAAACCAAAGGCTATAAAACTAAATACAAAATCCTAAAACAAAATACTGCAGTCTCTTTTCAATGAGGCTGAAAAACCCTCATTTTCCTCCTTGTGTTTGAATTCCTCAGTATATTCTCATAAAACTTTCATAAGATGAGAAACCACTTTTTTCCACATATAGTAAATGCTAAATTAGCATGCCAATAAGACTTTTGAATTTAAATGGATTATCTCTTATTTCTTTAGTTAAAGTACTAATTAACTGTCATTTTTTTCCAGCTAGAAATTAGAAACAATTATGTGTATGCAGACAGTTGTATAGTAGGGACATTTCTCCATTTACAACAGAGAAATTATTTACTGTTGGCATGAAATACAATGCAACCTGCTACAGCAAAACAGCAATGTTGCTGGCCCCATTAGCAATTATGGTATCTACTGTAATTCTTCCAGCACATTATCTCCTATGAGTTAAGTTACAGTGTATCAGAGGACTTAGACATTCGCTAAATAACATCACAGAGCCAGCAATCACCTCTCAGAAGTACATAATAACCTAACTTCTTATTTATAAGCTGGGCCACTGATGTTAATGAGGATAACCTCTGTGCTTAGGCAGGCATGTTATTAACTGCTCTGTCAGAATCAGATACTATTCCCAAATATATCTAAAGAAAACTTATTGGATGTAAACATGAATGTATTCATCCATATTTGGACTCATAAAGGGAAATCATTTGTAGCTAATAAACACAGCAAATGAATTAAGACTTTCTGGACAAAATGCATCTACTCAACCATTCAGTTTCAGAGGGCATACCCACTACGCAAGTCCAGCACACCCCACTGTCACTGAAGCAGCAAGGCAGACTTCCCTGAGCCACTTTCTTCCACCAGACCCTTTGTCACAGCTGGCTCCCCCATCTCCAGGCTGACAGTTTGACACATCTAGCATGCCACCTGCTCTCATGACACAGCACTTGCACTGCATATTCCAGTTCCCCCCTTATTCTTCTGTTCTTTTTTTTTTTTTCCTCCATATGAAAGGGGAGACAAATGCAGTTCAAATTGAGCAGCACTTCAGGTGTGCATGGTAGGAGGATCTCCAAATAACACTATGTGGCTGTGCCCCACTGCCCCCAGTCTTGGCTGAAGATAAAAAGTCTCTTACAACTACCAGCCCATCATCTGAAGATCCAGCTCAATAAGTTGAATCGTTAGACTCTAGAGTTTTACATGTTTACAGTGGCTGAAGTCCCACTGTTACTTACCCGCCAGCTCTGCCTTGCACAAAGCAGGCATCTTAATCATTGGATCCATTTTAGACTTCACTTTAGCAATCATTGCAAATAATTTGCTGTCAGATACTATACAATGTACAAATATACCAGGAAAAAATAAAAGCAAAAAAAAGCAGAGTCCAAGTCCATGAAGCAAGGGGAATTACAATTTCTAAATTGCTTCACATCTGCTTCTTAAACATTTGGAAAGTATCAGGGTTATTACCATCAGTTTGCTGCTTCTGACTGGTCTGTAGTCATTTAAGCAAGCCTCATATTCTCATTTTAATATTTAATGAAATACATAGCATGCTAAGTGCATCACCATAAAGATGTTTCATGAGTATATTACAGTAAAATACTAACTTTCCAGCTTGCTATATTAATCAATATAGTTACCTTGGTTGCACAAATATAATTAAATTTTCATTTCAGTTCACTGAAAGTAAGAGTATCTATAAATATTTCAAGCAAGAGGATGAGATGGTTAGTATTTTATTTATCAAGAATAATACTTCTAAAATAATACTTTTAAAACACCTTCAGGAAAAAAAATAAAAATAGAATTAAAGTTTATCTAGAGCTTGATCATAATTTTCAAGAAGTAACAAAAGACATACAGAGATAAAATTCCACACCTGGATACCTAGTTTTTACTTGATACAGAATGAGTCTTCTTATCACTGGGACATACCTGCAGTGTATCAGTCTGAGAACTGGAGTACATGACACCTTTCAGGTACCAAGACAGAGCACGGGTTATGTATACACCTGTAAGAAAGAGATAGAAAAAGAACTTTTAAGTAGAATGGTTTCTTTCTTTTTTTTTTTTTTTTTTTTTTTCCTCCTAGTGAAGTACAACACCTGAAAGATCAATTTATTATCTTTTTTTCAGATAAGATTTGCCCTGGAAGATCACAAGATCACACAGGTAGCTGGGAAGAGCCCCAGACCCCAGCAGTTCCAGTGCCACATGAGACAGAGGAGAGAACAGAAAAAGACTCCGAAGTCAGACTAGAAACTGTGTGCACCTCATCCTCAAATACCCAGCTGCACTGGCAAATTGACTGTTGGATTGCCCTGAAACATTGGTTCCCAGAGATCCAAGTCATCACATAAAGCCTGTTCTCCAAGCTCAATGCAGATGTTGTCTGCTGCTCTCATCCTAGCTGTGACTGGCAACAATAATATGGTGAGCAAGAAGAGATAACAATATCATGATGAATACATGCCCATGCTTAAAACATTTAAGAGTCACTTCTGTGCTTAGGTAACCTAACAGACTTGTATGGATGTGTGTGGCAGATAGAGTTTGCTTTTGCCATTTTCTGATTTAATCATCTTGGGTTTCAGACTAGAGTTAGAGAAAAGACAACGTGACAAAGGACCTACTAAGGGTATCATTTCTGTTGACACAATTTTAATGTGAATTAGTAAGGAAAGCACTCTCAACATATCCAGCACAATTTCTGCCACAGCTGGAATTAGATATACACACTGAAATCTCACACTTGACTTGGAAAATTTCCTACTAAGAAGAAACTACTGATTATACCTGATATGTCATTTCATCAAAATGCTACCAGTGGAAGTGAGATTTCACATCGATTGGACTAATGTTCCCTTGGCCCATGGAAGTACACATCAAGTGCACACATGGATTCTGTAACAAATATACCAACCCATTCCTCAGAAATACTTACAGATAAAACATTGCTGCTTGCAAGCATATCACAATACGTCTAGATAATATATTTGAAATACTAGCAGGCTTTGAAATCATATAAGAAATAGCTTACACCAGAGTTCAGAAGGTAAAAAGAAAAATAAAATAGGGCAGTATACACGTGGGATATACCATCCCTAGAAGGATCAGGAACAGATGTTTGAAGTTTGCAACAGCAACTGATACTCGTGTACCAGTGCCTGGTGCAGCCATACCTGGCTTGATAATGCATGCTGTGGTGTACACACTAAATAAAGCAATGCAGAAGGAGCAAGATGACAACAACCAAAACAAAAATAAATAAATAAATAAATAAATTATATATATATATATATATATAAAAAAAAAACAAAACAAAACAAAACAAAAAAAACAACGAAACCAACCAACCAAACAGGAGGCACAACAGAAAGAACAAATGCAATGTTATCTACCTCCCCTAAAAAAATATTTTTGTAATGAGATTTTTGGCTTTAAGCTGTGATGGACCAGGAGGAGTCGAGCTGGAAGCAGCCACCCCTTGGGGAGGGTCCTGGCTCTGCCCTGGGTAGCACCACTGAACTGGGTGCTCACCAGGCACCAACCTCAGGGTGGGCACGAACCGTAGCTTGGGTGAAAACATGCTCATTTAGGAGATGCTGACACCCAAGTGAATGTTTCTCCTCCTTCTAACCTTTGGGACTGTGGCACCAAAATACCTTCCATCTTAAATCCTAACATTTTACATTAAATACTTCCAGTACATCTAATTAAGCTTGTCTCTCAATTTTGTAAGATACAGGCATGAGAAGATTTTATTTCCTTTACAGTTGTGTTTTTCAAGGCAAAAGTATGAGTAAGGTTACATAGAACTCTTTTAAAGACACTAAGAAAGAGTGGCTGCAAAAAGACCTAAAAATATCAAACTATTACATTTTTGGAATTTTTACCAAGGTATGTTTAAGCTCTTTATATTGAGGTGTTATGTAAAATAGCTTATTTCAGATGCACCCATTTGGATACCCGATCAGTGTCTGTGTCACGAATAAAATGAATGAAGGAAAAAAAATGACAATTACTGGCTAGAGCAGCCTGAGGAAGCAGATTTCAGTTATTACTATTATGGGGAAACCACATTACATGGACTGAAAAGTCCATCACTGCTTTTTAAAAATCATATTGTAAACATTTCACTGGGTTTTATTTTCTCTGTTGATTGCATTCTGTTGCAAAATCCATTGTGTTGTATTTTTGAGGTGCTAGCAGACAAGTGCAATAAAAAAACATATTTACTTTTTCTTCTACCACCTCTCTTCCCTATATAGTTATCAAACCACCAATAAATTTTAAGTGATATCCATTCATTTCTTTTGGTCTTGCTAGATTCTAGGTGTGCACAAGGATAAGGGTTATTGCATCTCTTGAATATACATTTCCACTAACACTGTTGCCTGACTTGCTGTATCTGAAGAGCAAGAATATTTTAATTTATGATCATATTAACTATGCCTAGGGTATTAATCCCAGAGTGCTTCAGTTTTAGGATAATTCTAAATTGTATTAAGTCTCCCATTTGAGTAATTCATGTAGAGAGCATTATCTCTTAATTCTAGCCCACACAGTCATGATGGGCACACATTTTATTAAGGAAAGTTGTAAATGCTTCTAGTATATAATATTTACACCCTTAGAAGCTTCACAGGTAGCTTTAGCCCAGCTTGAATCCATTCCTCATTTAAAGTGACATTCAAATATATGTCCAATGTACAGAATATGATAGACAGCTCAATACCCTTTGTGCTGTACAATCTAAAATATATCACAACAGAGTTGTGATAAAAGAGATAGTTTTAAACTAAGTATTTTCCATATTCATACAGGAAATGTAAAAATAAAGAAAAATAGATTCTCAGCTGAAGCTCCTATGTGATCTCTCAGACACTAAAATGTGAGAAGTACATGCAAATGCTGGTTTATCAGTAGTGGTAGACTTGAAGAAATTGAAAATTGTTTTATTTGAAAAAACAGAAGTCTGCCTGAAATTAATTGTATTGATTGAAATGAAGTACCATTTACCTTAAGGAGTAGACAATCTTGGCCTAATAAATATACTTCAAGATTTCTCACTACGATCAGAATGATGCAAAGATTTCCCTCTGCAAATTGACAACAGTTCTCCACTCCCCATCCACTCCACCAGCTCCTCTTCCTCCCCACCCCCCTCCTTTGTCTTTTTTTTTTTTTTTTTTAAGGAATGTAGTACATGAACCACATATTTTATGCTACCAAAAAAAAAAAAAAAGTTTTTTCCTTATGTGATTTCCAGTTCATTTAGATACTGTTCTAGTAAGCAGTAAAAATGTCCTTGGAAGTTTTATTTTTTATTTTTTTTTATTAGCAATTCCTGTCACAATAAGCTTAGAACAACTTCCCAGAGTGACACCTAGAGATGATTTCATTTATAGGTAGCTGCTAGCTTTCTGTCAGTCTTTTGAGTACTTACTTCATTCACCAAGCCAGGTTACTTCCATTCTTCAATATGCTTTCTTTAGATTTGTTTTGAATTGCTAGGAAAAATCAGAAAATAAATTTACAAAAAATAGGACAGAATGTTTTGAGCTTCATCATAGCTTGGTGAAGATGGAGCTTAGTGAATTTATTTTTATAAAAAAAAAATAAATTATTATATATCAGATTCAAACAATGTGATTTTCCTGCTCAGAAGTGGTCCAGGTTTGCAATACTCAAGCACGAGGACAACATTCCTAATATAAACCATGTAATTCATACATTATATTCACTCTAATCCATTACTAAATTTTTGAAGTTCCAGAATACGAGAGCGTTACTTGTACTTTATACTGCATCTTATTGCATGTTAAAGCCTTGGGGCATTGTAATTGATCATAATAATTCACTTGAAACTCAGCTTTCCTTTCAAAATTAGCTGGCCTATTAGTAAACTTATGTAAGAAAATATATAAAGTTCAAAAATGGAAATACAAAGTTTTTACTTTTGCATGGTAATATAAAAAATAGCACAATTAGTATAATAGGCTGAAAACCAGGAGTATCTTCAGAGACTAAGGATGTATTATATATTAAAATTATGTATGGCTGCAGATGGTAACTCAACAGTCTTTTACATTGGGTATCAGTAACCTGAGGCTGACCCTGAGGATACATCTGCTAAAGACACCTGCCTTCAACTTCAGAGGGGTGACAGCTCAGGAAAACTTTTATCTTACTCATTGGATATACTAATCATTGTAAATTATCTACTCAGATATAGATTGTGAGCCATTTGCAGCTCTTTTTGCAATTTGCACCTAACTGCAGCACAGAGATTAATGAACGTTAAATTTTCCTTACTAAAAGCACAGTGTGTTTAAGTTTTAATTGCTGTATATAATGTAAAAATGTACTTAGTTGTTTTACATGTGTCACATGCCAAGAGAATCATGGTATGCAGAAGAAAGGCAAAACTAGTCTGGCAGATGTTTGCTCCATCTCACTGCAGTACCATCTCCCCAGGCATTGCCTGAGGCAACTATCAGCAGTAGAGCCCAGTGCAAACATCAAAAACGAGAAAATCACAAATGCAAAAATTAGTGGTCACAGCCACTTTCTTCACTTCAGACAGACTGACTAAGCAAATTGACTGAGCAAACCTGACTTACATTACCTGTTTGTTTTGCTCTGACCCAGTGATTACAATTCAACATTCAAAGGAATGTTGATCAAAATGAAGTAAAAACTTTTTTTTTTTTTTTTGGCCACAAATATGTATTTGATCCACAAATTGGCTTTTTATTGGCTTTTTTTTTTTTTTTTTTTTTTTTTTTTTTTTTTTTTAAGATGATAATGTAGATTTCAGATATTCTATATTAAGTACCAGGGCCCATTTTCATGCCCTTAATTTTTCTAAATAGCATGCCTCTACCGAGCTTTGGTATAGCAACACTGGTTTCACCACCAACGCAAACATTCAACTGTTATTTACTGGAGAGTCCTAAACATCTGTAAGAACATTATAAATTCAGGTCAGTGGCTACCTACAGAAATGTGGTTTAATTTTCAGGTTTCTAAATTATACCAGCTATTACTCTTTACTTAATGTTTTCTTTTTACAGTAATTTGTAGACTTCCCTGACTCTGTAGCTTGCATTGTGCATTTTTTTTAAGCTATGTAGAAAGTTCCCTATTATGGCCCACAGAGTGATAGCCTGAAAAGCAGAAATGGTTATGAATAAGAATATGAAAAGCAGAAAGTTATGAATATATATGCACATTTAAAATATATTTCAATATATATTGAAATATTTTTAAAAATATGAAATATGAAATATCTTTAAAAAATTTATATTTTAAATATATTGAAATATTTCAAATATATATTTTTAAAATAATTTTTTTCTTCCTTATAGTTTGCATAAACAGAGGGTGTCTAAAACTTTGGATTAGAAGTAATAAAAAACATCAGAAAAATTCTTATGACAGCACGAATCTAGTTGTCCACAAGCTGCAAGGATGGAGAAGGAAATAGATTTATCTTTTAATTAATAATATTTTCAATTAAATAAAAAGTTATTGACATTGCATCCCATTTTATACTGTTCAGCAATTATTTGCTAGTAGCTTCACTTTGTTGTTCAGAGAACACGTGAATTAATGAAATTAATTACACTTTTATGTTGTCTTTTAATTCTCCCCAGTGCACCACTATTGCTGTCCTAACTCCAACCCCCCACCCTACCACAGCTCCCCCCAGTGACACTCCTACCACTCAAGAGATGCCAAAGTTGTGAGTAATTTGCATATGCACATTGATTATCTAAAAGGTTGCAGCTCAACAGAATACATAATAGTTGACACTTACCTGCCTAGTTATCATGGGAAAGCTCATTTCCTCTGCACAGGTGCTGAAGGTCATGGAATTGGCAAAATATCACAGATTTCTTCACACTAGTGAGATATGGTTGACAGTGGGTCGTTGGTTTAAAAGTTATAATTAGCACATAGAAGGTCTTAACCACATAATCTCCATGTTTGTTTTTTTTTTTTTTAAGTCAATTAAAAAATAATTTTTCTTTTCCCAAACTTGCACGAACCAAGTTCTACCGCATCGATTTAATAACAGAATTTGTACTTTATGTATTTAAATGAGATGTACTAATTTCATTGTCAGACAGGACTTCATATCAATCAAGATAAAGTTTCTCTGGAAGTAAGGAAAGGTTTCAGAAATTAGTCTTCAAATATCCAGTAGTCTTCTAACAGAACAACTCAGCAATCCTCTCATTATGTCTATGCTACCTTGTCTGTAGAAAGGAAGAATGCTATAAGCTTAGTATGAAGACCTCAAAAAAATATATATTTTTTCAGACATTCCCAAATGGCGACTCTTAAGAAAAGATCCACCTGATAATTAAGTTCATCTCCAGTCTTTTGAAATGCTAGCAGAAATCAAGTAATACAATACTAAATGTAATATGTAAATGAACTGGTAATCTACTCAACCCCAAATTGCAGGCTCCCTTAGGTACAATGTTAGAAACAGATGGTCATCTTTTCACCTCCAAAGAAAATGAAATGTTGATCACCTACCATCTGCCTACTAATGATTAGCAGCAATAGGACTGTTTGTCTGAATACACTCAAGGAGAAGTGCATCTTGGACAACTTTGAGGACTCTGATGATCTTAGTTAACCTACTAAGTGAAATGTATTCCAAGGTCTTCATTTCTTCTGTCAAATTATGAATCTTTCCTAATAGCCTAACTGAAAGAGCATATATACTAAAATATTACCCTTTCTGTAAATAGGTGCATGTAACCCTGTAGCCACAATTTCATAGTTTTTGCTTCCTGGGAAATAAAAGGATGTAAAAGTGAAACCTGAACAGCTCTGTAACAGTCCATGAAGTAAAAGAACCTGTTGATTTCAAAGATCATAACTGAAAACTAAAAGTTCAGCATTATGGGCAAAGACAGTAGCTGACCCTTAATCAGTCATACATTTGATGTGGGAAGGCTTGTCCCCTTCCTGGCTGTTTTTGTTTCTTTGAAGCAAGCCCTTCTTTCAGCAGCTGCAGCAAGGTTTTTATAGAACATAAAAGAAGCCATCTAGAGCAGTGCAACTTTAAGTAGGAAAAAAAAAATTCTCAGTGGAAAATTTAAGACTGTTTGAAAACAAAGGTACTTGTACTCTCTGTCTCTGTAAACAGTAAGGCCTTTGCTCTGATTTTCCTTTTCAGTTCGGCAACTTTCAGACTGCCTGAGTTGAACAAAGACCAAAAAGTCACGTCTGTGAATGTACAGGAAAGGCTTCATTTCTTCACTTCTGAGGTTTGGCTAGTAGTGCTGCAAGTAACATCCTCTGGTCCTCTCAAGATGCTCCTACTTAACTGTTTTGACTTTCTTCACACTGAGTGGCCAGATCTATCCAAGTCCTCATCATGTCCCTTGCCCTGCCAAAGGCTCCATCAAGCCCAAAAGTGCCACAGCCAGGCTATGGCAGACAAGTGTTTTTCCTCTTGGCTCTCGTTCTAGGCCATAGCTTACAATGTAGCACATACAAATTAGTAAATTGTCTAGTTCTACTATCTGTCATACATTACTCCTATAGAAATCCAAGGATTCTCTCCCTGTGTGAAACACTGTAGTGTCCTACTGTAAGGGAATTGTCCTGGACAGCAACATTGATACCTTTGATTGCTAGTGTTTCTATTTGCATGCCATAAGATTGTAAGAAAAAAAAAATATCCCCATACATTTTTAATTCTTTCTTCACAGTATCTTATTTCAGAATTGTATCTGCAATAAAATGCTTCCCACAAAAACAAGGTAGCAGTTTCTCAAGAGACTGAACCATTGCAAACCATTCCTTCTCCTGTCTTGGATACAGAAAGTGATTAATTTTCCTGACTTACACCTTAGAGGATGTATTATTTCTTCCTCATTCTCTGGTACACAGCTGCCATCAAGCAGATTCTGAGGTATCTGTGGATACAGCAGAAGGCCTTTTCGAGTTAGAAGCCCTTTGTCTGTTTCGTTTGACCTTAAATTTTCTTTTAGTCACAGACATTGCTGCAGTTTCAATGCTCAATACAAGAGCTTGGTAACATCTCAGAGATCATAAGAATAACACAAGCAACTTCTGTGATAAAAATTCAGCAGCTCAGTAATGCATCTGTTTTGACTGAATGTGAATTTACAGCATTATTTCTGGTGGTGTATTAGAAGCCTCGTCATTATCTCATCACTATCACTGTATCTTTTATTTTCCAGCAACAAATAAACAGATTTATTCAACAGTCACTCTTTTAGTGAGGTTGAGCCATATTCCAAAAAAGGTGCAAGAAGTCCTCAAGGCCTAGTACAAGGGCTTACTCGGTTACACTTTTTTTGGATTTAACTAATCAAACACACAAATTTTCTCCAACAAAGCCATTCTCCTACCTGAAGTAAAGCTGGCACTTAGGCAGCTCTCCACATTTTAAGAGTATCAGTACTGAATCAGAGTTATCCTGAGTTGGAAGGAACCCACAAGGATCACTGAGTGTAACTCCTGACTCCACAAAAATCGACCACCCAGAAGCTGAACCACGTGACAGAGCATTGCCCAAACGCTTCTTTAACTCTGACAGACTTTGGGCCATGATCACTTTCCTGGGGAGCCTGTTTCACCCTCTCAGTGCAGAACCTTTCCCTAACACCCAGCCTGACCCTCCCCTGTCCCAGCTCCATGCTGTTCCCCCAGGCCCAGTCACTGCCACCAGAGAGCAGAGCTCAGCGCCTGCGCCTCCGCTCCCCTCACGAGGGAGCTGCAGGCCGCCATGAGGCCTCCCCTCAGTCCCCTCTTCTCAGGGCTAAACAATCCAAATGAGTTCAGCCACACTGCATTAGTCTTGCTCTCTAAACCCTTCACCATCTTCATACCCCTCCTTTAGGGGTTTTCTTAGAAGTTTTATGTCTGTCTTATACTCTGGTGCCCAAAATTGCACACGATACTAGAAATGAGGCCGCACCAGTGCAGAGCCGGACAACCCCTTCCCTCAGCCAGCTGGCAGTGCTGTGCCTGAGGCACCCCAGGTACATTTGGCCCTTTTGGCTGCCAGGCACACTGCTGGCTCATGTTCAATTTGCTGTCAAACAGAACCCCAGATCCCTTTCCATGTGGCTGCTCTCATTCCCCAGTCTGAACATGAAAAGAGGGTTGCCCTGTCCCTGATATGTCCCAGGACTGCAGAATCCACCACTTGCTCTTGTTGAACCTCATGCAGCTAGTGATTGCCCAGCTCTTTAATTTGTCAAATTTTCTCTGCAGGGCCTAATTACACTCAAGGGAGTGTAAAGCTCCTCCCAGTTTAGCATTGTCTGGAACCTCAGTATACCTCCAGGTTCTGCATCCAAGTTACTTATGAAAACAGTAAAGAGAACTGGCCTTTAAAATGGAGCCTTGTGTAGTGACAGGTTACTGGCATTGGACTGGTTATGGACATCAGGTTTGTGACCAGTCACTGTTGCCTTTTTAGTCCTGTTTGTTTCTCATACTCTCTGAACTCTTCCTCATGAGCCTTGTTATTCAATTTGAAGTGGTACATTCAAGTATTTTCCTTTGTTCAGTTTAGGATACATTTTGATATTTTCCATCTTTTATTGCAGAAGGAATATTTCTCTCCAACCTCTCCATATTCAATTTTTTATATTCCTTGGGGGACTGGCTCTCAGCAACTTTAGGATGGAAACCTTCCCAAAGACAGACAGACAGGATTTGTCTTCAGGCTGCTTTTGGAGGACCATACACTTCCCAATGCATTTCTTAGTAGTGGGATTTCAGGTTTAAGTTACCATACTGGTAACCTATCCCAACAAATACATTCCTGATCATGTTTTCAGCCCATTGAAGTTAGTCTTCCATTATTTTACCTAAAGATTTGTAGTCACATTGCACAGTCACATATGAATAAGCTTCTAGAGTCTTTCCATGCAGAAAGACAGTATAATGTGAGTAAAGAGAGAGCACAGTTGCCTAACAGGTTTCTCCAAAGCACCAAAAACATGATCTTTGCAGAAGGAAGTATACAATTTACACAATATTTGCAATATATAAAATTAGCAACTCACAAAAATAATAAGCAGACATCATGTGTGTGACTCATCACTAAACTATATACAGGTAGAAAATTGAGTTAATTGGGATGCCTAGAGAAAGAATAATGAAGAAATGAATGAACCTTTGCTGATTTGTTTCTGACCTCAACAGTTTTCCATGAAGTAATATGAGATACCATCTTAGACCACACATATTCAGTCCACAAAACACTGAACAGACCATTTAATAGAAACTCTGGCTAGTTCATTATACTTCATATTAATAAGAAAATTTCAAGCATTTTATTACAAAAATACACAGTAGAGAAAATCCTGTTAGGTGATTGTTGTGTCCACCAATACAATCATTATTGATGAGCCAGTCATTTCAATTTTGACTATGGAATTGCAGGTAATATTCAAGCAAATGTATACCTTCAGACAAAAGGAATAAATCTATTTATGGCTTCTTACCAGTTCCCTGCAGGTGGTCTCTGAAACTGACTAATCAAGTTTTTACTATCTAGAGACAAATAGTAACATCTAAATACCTAATGCAAGAAGCAAAAATATAATGAAATAATAAGCTGTACTATAAAAAAGCAATAGTTTAATTAGTTTAATATAATTTTATCACAAACTAGTCATAATAAATTTCAAAGGAATAGAGGCCACATTCGACTTTCCTCTTTATCAATCATTGCTTTGTATGTTTACATTTTTATGGAACATCTGCCCTTTCACATACTTATTGAAGGACATACCAAAAGGTATGTATATCTCTCACCAACCTGAATTTTAAAAGAGGCTATTAACCCACAAGCATGGTTATTTTATAGTTTTTCCCCCACGTCTTGGTTACATGATCGAAAAACCTGACCTTTTCCTTCTACTTCATTTTAACCTGTATAAGCTCATCTTACTCTGTAAGTGCAAGAAATGGCTGGCATGCACTACATTTAATAATACTTTTGCATAAAATTTCAAATGTTGTGGGCTGCAAGCTTTTTTTTTTTTTTTCCCCAGAACAAAATATTATAATAAAACTGCTTTTAATGGAGAAGTCCTAGCGTTGTTTAGCTTAGGAGGTTTAAAGAAGCAAGGTTTATAAGGAGCATTAAAATATTTTATTAGACTCAGCAAGGTTGTTACAAAAAGATGGTAAATTTTTGGTACACAACCACTCTTTCAAGACAGATAGGCAAGCAACAATTTTCATAGTAATTAAAATTATTCATTACTTTCTTTACTATAAAATTGCCTTCTATTTCCAGTATGAATTTGCTGGTATTTAGTCTCTGGCAGCCCTTTTCCTCTCTAGACTACTTGAGGGTTTATCATTTCCAGTCAAACACCTGCCAAACGTGATCCAGCCAACCAAAAACTATTACTTAGAGGAGCAAAAATGCAATGAGATTTTCATACTGTGCTTTAAGCAATACTAGATATTTCTACAGCTTTGGATCAAGCATCCTCACTATCCTTTCCTTTTATGTGCATTTAATGACATTCTGCACACAAGTCTCTTATTACCAAAATGTACCAAAGAAGGCAAATAGTATCAAGTGTTACTTGATTCCTTTTTCATTTTTGGCTAGACTATTCAGATTCACGTTTTAATATCCAATCCATTGGAAATAGTTTCCCCTTAAACTGATGCCAAAAAAATAAAAAATACCAAACAATTCAGGATAATTATAGCCATCATCATCATTTGAAAAATTTTATGTATACACGCATTTGGTCAGACAGTAAAGAAAAGGTTCAGACACTGCCAAGTCAAAATTGACAGGAAAACACATGAGTATCACTCATTTCATCACAGGCCATCAATAAATTGTAAATGTAAAACTACTGGGTATACTTTTATTTCTTTGCTTTGTTAATCTATAGATTGCAAGTGTTGATTTAATATTGTTTTGTTAAGAAACAAGAACATGTTGACTGCAGTTATAATTTTCACGAGTTATTGCTTTTTTTGGTTAGAAGACAGTACAGCCAGCAAAAGTCAAGGTTCTCTAAATAGAATACTGATGTGAGAGAGAGTAGTAAATAATTCCCCAAACCAAAAGTAGTCTCAAATTGATACCTCAAGACACTCATTTGTATATGTACAGAAAGATGGACTTCAAAACTCATCTCTAGAGACCAACAACATGGAAAATATCTAAATATCCCAGGACCCACCCAACCATCTTTGCTGAGATGAATAAATTTTCACAAGAGTGCTGCATGATTTAATATTGCAAAATTAGGTAAATGGAGTGCATTGCCCCAGATGAGTTCCTCATTTCCTCAGGGCTCTACTTTGAGCTTTAATGCTTACTTGCTCCTGAATGCCACAGAGGGGAATACAAAATTTGTTTATTAAACATTGGGTTCTTCATAACAGAAGTCTTTTTCTCCTTAATACCTAACTGTATTATTGACCAGTATGCAATGTCAAAATAATGATTCTGCACCAGGTTCAGTGTTATGTCTTCCCAGCAATTACACCATCACAATGAACAGTCTTGTGGCATGAACGCTCCCTCAGCTCTGCCAGCAAACAGGTGGCAGATAAGATAAATACAGCCTGGTGAACATGAGGCTTTTAAAAATTATTATTATTAAAGAGAACCTCAACAAATATCCCTAACACTCATAGAAACCTTGTGCCTTTTTTGTTTCTCAGTTTTATTTTGTACACTCCAAACTCCTTTTATTTTGCACTGCTCCAAACTAAGGTAGGATTTATTTATTTTTTTATGTGCACAGTGAAATAACTCAAACTCCAAAAGGTGGGAGGGTGAGAGGAAATGTAACACAATGTGGGAAAAGACACCTATGGTTTTGTTCATCTGCATACACAGCATGCGTACCCAGTTCTATCATCCTCCTATGAAGCAGTGAGTTAACCCTGAGGC